CTTGTATATTAGACAGCAGGAACTCGCTGAAAGTAGAGGTGAAAAAATCGCCAATTTTAACAAATTTACATAAACAATTTTCTTGACGAACTTTTTTTTGCAGCACCTATTTTCGATATAATTATGACAATTAACTAATTAATAGTTTAAGTTGGGCAGAAAGACCGATTGGGTCGATAGCCTTTTTCTATAGGAAATAAAGATTATTTATATATACAGTTTAAGTTTAAACTCTTGTTAAACTAATGAGTAGTGAAAACTACTAGGCAATGACAAACATTTTAGTTGCATTTTGGCTTTTCTACGCAATCTGCGCGAAAGTTAAACAAAACAATGGATTCTATTCAAATAGTGGCAGTTTTGATTCATATATTCCAATAAAGTTGCGACTTAAATGTAAACCTAACACATACATTAATTTTTATTCGAATGAATCAAAAACTGCCATTTTCCGATCAGAAGCGATGATATAAAGAAACACTTTTCTAGTATTTTCTATTGATCTTAATTTAAAGTTTACTTGCAATTTGTAAATTATAACTTTGTTAGATCGGTCTTAAAGTCTTTTTAATGGCCTATTTTTCTGCGTTTGTCGATGTTGCCACAAGCAAAACACGATCTTTTTAAATAGCGCAAATCTCATGCAGAATATGCAACTTGTACAAACACCATGCAGCGACAGTAGCTGTTTCAAGGTTGGAAGTTGAAACCAACAATTGCGCCATCTCTAACTTGGGGGCACTGGTGGGATGCAGGATATTGAATTTTCAACACTCATTGTATATGCTTACAAAAGTACATTTTTGAAAAATTACAAACGTCAAAACGTGACAGTTGAAAAATGTATTTGACGTATAATTTAAAATATGAATTTGATGTTTTTATTCTTGTCTATTATTGTTTAATATAACTTATTTTTTGTGTGTTATGATTTCTTTCGAATAATAAATAGTGTTTGTCACGAGGGCGAAAATCCGTTGTTCACCCTTGTATCGAAAACTATCATTGCAGTTTGTATTTGTTGTTTTGTTGCACAGCAACAGCTCAGCCGAGCCACAACCGACTCTAAATGAACTAAAGCAACAATACAAACAAACCGGTTTTTATTAACTATATGTCACATTGAATGATAAAAAATTCATTATCCACTGATTTTAGTTAACATGAATTATATTTTTGATGAATTAATAAAATGTTCCGGATTTTATCGGTGCGTTGATAACATAGAAAATTTTAAAGTAAGGTAAGTGTTTTGCTAAAATGGCCATAATGTTTTTCTTCTCAATGACGGACACTTTTATATCGGTCGAAATTACTGTTTCAGAAATGTTAAGTGGACACCCATTTTTGATTAATCAAAAATTGACAATACATGCGCGCTAACACATACAAAATAAGGTGTATTTTAAAAAATGTATATTTTTATTGTCATATATTTATATAACTGATAACTGTATTATCTCTTAATGGATAAATATTTAAAATACCGTAGTTTTGACAGACTAATGATAATGACCACAGAACACCTCTGAACTGACTGATAATGACTGACCGACTGTCTCTATGACGAACTGTCTGTCACAATGACGGACGTTTGGTCTTATCTTCGTTGCTGTCGTTACTACTAGTTTGAACTTCTCAACTTGAACCGTCTCAAGCAAGCTTTCATAGAACTGTTTAGATTTTGTTGCACCAAGGAACCTGTGAACGCATAAAAACAATAGTTGCTATCGCATAAAAGCAATAGTGTCTACTTCATTCATTACTACTGCTTCAGTTATCTAGCTGAACTTTCGCTTGACGGCGACTCTTCTGTATTTCTTCTTCAAAGAATAAAATTATTGGCCTTTCAATAAATGAAGTTCTGTCTCCGTTATTTTGTTTAAGGCCTTGAATCAGTCGTGTTTTTTCTCCTCCTTCAGACATCTTTTCCAATTTCCTTTGTCACTGTGTTTAGGTCCTCAATTACTGTGTTGGGTAGCTTTTTGAGGACCTCATTAGAGATTTCGTCATGTCCAGGGGCTTTTCTCCTCTTCGTCCCCTGGATGATGTCCTGGATGATCTCGTTTGTCACTCTTTTGGATGAATGTCTGTGTCCCGCGGCCGGTTCTTATAGTTGCACCGAAGCTTCTTCTCAAAAATTCGGGAATGATGGCATGGCAGATTTATGGCTTCCTAACGGTACCCAAAGTCTCTCAGTGTGATGCAGGGTGGATTTATGACTTCCTAACGGTAGCCAATGTTCCTCAGTGTGATAAATGGCGGATTTATGGGTTCTTAGGCAGTACCCAAGGTCTCTAAGGGGAGTCCCACATAACTCCTGTAAACGCCAGCTTTTCGTTCAGTTCATTTGCACAGAACTGGCTTGCGCAAGCCAGATCGTTCAGATGGTTTGAGCGTGTAAATAAGAGACAAAGACAAGTAAATAGTGTAAATGGGCTTTAATAAGTCGCCGTGTGCGTGCGAGGGAAAAGAGCGAGCGACCGCAGGGTGGGGACGGTCAGATATAACGGCGCTGTAAGGCATTCCAGTCGATTCATACCGTCAGGGACATAGATAAAGACAAGGGTCAGGGACGGATCACGCTTTCAAGTCAGGAATAGGTTATGTCGTAGAAATTCAGTTTTTGGTTGTCTATGAAACTAGATAAATTATCATTAGTCGACATCAACCCAGTACAGGGGGTTTCATGACCTCCATGACAACCATGATGGCATGGTTCATGACAACCATGATATGACATTGGAATCGTTGGGTAGAAAATTGAAAATTCGATTCAGTCACAACATGTGTGAGGAAATTCGGGCAGTTGAGAGCACATCTGCGACCAATAAGACACAAGAGATGTAGTGATATAATATAAAATACCTCTCCGAAAGCATATTACTGCAGATATGAAATATTTCAGTCGAATATAAATTATTTTAAATACAACAAATTTTATTAATTAATTTTTAAGGCTTTAATCTATTTTAATTTAACTTTTCTTCTTTTCACCCCATTTCTCGGAAAACGAAACATTTGCGGACATAAAGTTTGCATGCAGAATCATGCCTTGAAATTAGTCAAATTTATTTCTTAACATCCTGTTACAGAATGACAATTTGAAAACTTGCAATGTTAATATGTAAGAAACGATAAAGACAAAACAAAGTTCCTCGAATCCCTTTCCATAAGAAGTAAAAAGTTATAAGTTTAGAACTCTTCAAAAATGCTTTACGATTAGAATACATAACGTCTCATTTGATGTACAATTTTGATCTACATGTTACATTTTTCCGGTTTCCTTCAAAAGAATTACCTCTCTTTCACCTAGAAAATATCCCTTTGGAATTATATTGCTTACTTTTTGAAATATCATCGCCTTACTTTTATCCTGGGAGGGTATGCTCTAAGTCTTGTTTTTTTTTGTCTTAACGTCGTTGGAATATTTTATACGATGTATGTATGCGTGTATGTGTGTGCTTTAAAAGTATATAAATTTAACTATCTAAGTGAAATAATTAGTAGTAATAGTTATGTTATCTTTCGTAATAATTTGACTATTGTCATTTATTTCACCGTTTTCTTTTTCATTGTTATAATTCGGCAGTCGTAAAGTAAATAAGTTGTAGACGTTGAGAGATTTAATTTATTTACTGATCATTGAGTTGATTGATTGATTGATACATTGATTTTCGTTTAGTTCCATTTAAACCTAGTTCGATAGAAAACCAAATCAATTACAGTTTACGAACTTTACGAAGTTGTTAAACTAAATTTCAAAAATAAAAACTGTTGGCAGGATTAAAATTAAAGAGGACAATTCATGCCAAGCAGAAAAACCGGAGACTCTGTACTTAGAAAAAGTCTTTGGTTGGCAAGAAAAGGTCTTCAGCAAGGAGCAGAAGGAATATTACAGCGATGAACGAAACTGTTTTACAGAACGTGAAAAAGAATATCACAAACTCATCAGTGAGGATTTTTCGGAAGAAGACGACTATTTATTATTTTCGTATTGCACTGGTGATGAGTTCTATGTAGACCATGAGGTAAATATAATCATAAAACTTTTCTTAATGAAGTTATTAGTTAGGTATACTGGCATTTTGAGAAATTCTTATTGAAGCGATATGCAATATACAGGGTGTTTTGAGAGGAAAGGGAAACATTCCGCCAATATGTTCAGGAGGTCAGAATTAAACAAAACAACCCATATGATGTAATCCGATTCTTAACCGTTTCTGAAACCAATGTGTTTTTCTTTTTCGACATTTGTTTGTACTTTATTGTTTGCCAATAACTAATTTAATCCTAATACCTAATGTAACATCGACGTCGTTTTTTAATCGAAGTTTTTCAAAAAGGTTTTGCAAGTATTCAAGAAACTTGAACTTTTCCAAGCACCAGGATTGACTGCGCCTGGACTGAACGAGAAGCGGGTTTAAATGTCGAAATTGAAGAGAATGTTCTGGATATGACTGAAGTAAAGCCAGGTGTTAGTCATCGCATATGGCCGTTTAGAAGACACCTAGGTAAAACGATTTAAAGCCTTTCGACGTTCAACCAATTCAAAGACTTCAAAAAGGTGATCGCGACTCCGATGAAGCTTAGTTTACCCGCGTTGGAATCAATAACTATCACAGTGAACATCGGTTGTTCGATAAAAATCCTCAAGCCCCGTTTGAACGAAACTTTCAACATCGATTCAGTATTAACGTATGGTGATGTTGATTGTAACATGTTAGATGATGTTCGATGTTTCTCCAATTGTTCGACCCCTAATGTACTTTGA